TAAAATTTTATATAACTTTTCTTCTCAATTTAACCCAATCTACTATAATCTTTGGGATTGTCCATATCGAATCTGACACCCTGTATACAAACACACACTCGTATATATATATATATATATATATATATATATATATATACACAGGGTGGGCCATTTTAATCCGTACACGGTAGTATCTCTTCAGGTAGGGGTGATAGCGAAAAATGCCTTAGACAAAAGTTGACTAAAATGGCCCACCCTGTATATATAAAAGAAGAATATGAAAATGTAATTATATTGTCATATTTTTTAATTACAGTTATACGCTACATTTTCTGTATTTCAATTTTTTTTACATCTTCATGGAAAATCCGAACAAAGCAATGTCGACTGGAGCGAAATGAATGGGTACAAAACTGACAAGGAAAACGTAATTCATAGCATTTTTTATTTCCTTAACGTAATAACAGTGAGTGCGTGTTTCATCACTCGCAGAACAGAAATCGTCTAAATATTCTTCCGGGAAAGAAAACCTGCTTTTCGCTATCTTTAACAGTAACACCAACAACAACGACTACAATCTATCGCTAACAAAATCGTTAACAATGATCATATACTTTCATGAAATCAGTATAAAAAAATATCTTTATGCAAATATGAAGATATATAATAATAAGTTATAGCGACTATATGTTCATCTATATTATCGTATAAAGATGATAATTAATGATAATTATATAGGAAAGTAAATCAAAAGGAGGACTAGCAAGACTGTCAGGGCATAATAAAGAAGATAATAATAGTAAAATAATTCTTTTATTAAGCTCGTTTTTGTGCTTACAATTAGCATTTTTTACAAATTTTTACAAATTTATGAGACAATTGAGACACTTTATTTGGTTAATCCTTCACTTAAATACTGAACTATTTTCACATTTAAAACTATTTGATGTGAAAGTCGTGTGTCTTAAAGTATTTAAAATGAGGTCCTTAATTGATTGCGTTTCGCTGATATTTCGTTGTGAAAAGTCTCCGCCGACGAGATCGACGAAATTTTATTTATGATTAACATTTTTATCTCATTGGTGTTCGTTATTTGTGTTCGTTATCTTGCGAAGCAGGGCATTTGTATACTTTATTGTCGCAGTATCGATGCGATGCCCTCAAGTGAATTCAAACACATTGATATATAAGCATCGATATATAACTATCGCCTTTTGTATTGATGGGATCCGGTTTTGAAGGTTGGCATAAAAACACATATGTGTTTCACTCGTACACGAAGTGCCTCGAGAGAAAAGGGTATACATCGGTAGAGGAATTCCCAAGCATTTGAAGTTAATAGAAGCGAAGAGACGAAATTGGAACAAACCGCTCGTAGCTGTTACATGGCTTGCCAAACTCAAGCTTCGTACCTAATAAATTTGAGAACGGTGGAAAGATAAAACCTCTTTATTTAACAATCGTTATAACATATACTTATAATCCTCTAAGAATTTAACTGTCGATGCAAATCGCGTCTCCGAACTTTCGCTTTGGCAACGGTCGGCACCGCCTTTCCTTGACGGAGGCACCGCGTACGTTTCCCGACTCCGTAAACCTAGGCCGGTATTCAGATCTTGTATTCAAGACCGTCTTAAGATCATCTTTAGATACTCCGTAGCCAATGAAATGTTCCATACAGCATCTTTAGATAAATTCAAGACGGTCTTGAATAGAAGATCCGACTATGAATACCGGCCCTAGTAGTCTCGCCTTAAACTTACGGAATACGAAATAATAAACTTCCTTAGACGTAATTAATTGCGCTAACTTCCTACAATATTCGCTAGATATACTGCTCGTGTGACGTCCCCGCGAGAACGTCGCGAAGACGCCGAAGAAGGCAAGTCGCGAATCGATCCACTCCGCGGTCGATCGTCACACTCTTATTGATCCCTCGCGTATCCCTAAGGATACGTCCTTATATACTACTATCGCATTGTACTACACTTTATCATTAGTGACTTGTCGAATTTTACGTATGCGACCGTGAGAGCCTCGACATCTGTCACTCTCTCGTAGCTGTCTTTTCACTTGTTAGAAATATTCGAAAGCACGATCGCGATCGCGGCTCCCATCCGGTTAAATAACGCGAAGAACAGACATTGGATGGTATCGTTCTTCGCCCGAAAAAGAACGATGTTATCGTCGGACTATATGGAACGTGCTGTATACGATGAGCTAACTGGCTCTGTAATAAAAACATGCGTGTTTTAGCAGGACGCTAGGTTCGATGGATGTTTATAGGCACCTGTACCTCACCCTTAGATTTATTCCTCAGATCTTGCCACTGCCTAGATCTCGCACGCGTCTACATTGCCTTCTGGATAAATTTAATATTAAACGCAATTTTCACGCCGTAACGTCATAAAATTCAGAATTGGTTGATAGGTCGGATAATTTAACAATATTAAAAAGTGTGCTAGACATGGATCTACTTCGAAGTTCGATGATCTTTACATTTACAGTGACGCTTAGAATTTAATAACACTGAACACGATTCTCTCGTGTTAAATCTGAATAAACGAAAATTTACAATCAGCATCGGCTACATTTTTGGGCCGTATTCGTAGTCCACAAGCTTAAATCGAAAACATTATTTCCTGCAAAAATTTTCTTTTTAATTTTTCTCGAGTTAGTCTTATTCTTAATTTTGTAACGAGGATATTCGGAACCGATATGATTACTTTCGTTTCTCTTGAAATATTTTTTTAATCGTCAGATCCTGATAAGGTATTTTTAATATACATTTATATATACATTTAATCTTATTAATAAGATTTTCAATAAAATACGTATTTCTCAAATATGTCATTTTAAGGACAAAATTATATTTGAATAGTGAAAATTATATTTCTAGGGAAGATAATAAATTTCTTTTCTTGACAAACTGCATCAGTCTTGTAATTACTGTACATTTTTCTAAATAACAATATTATCTGGAAAACACAATATTAATTTTAATAAAAATGATGTTCAAGGCAAGGAATGTGATATGAGAGAGTACAAGTTTAGTTAGTAGTGAAGCTGTTTATTATAAAAATCTCGATCTCTTGTAATTTTATTTTAAACACGCAACATTGCTGTTAAATATAAAATAACAAATACTTATGAAACATTTTAAAATGTTTAAAATTTTTATCTAGAACTTTCCGGGCGTTAAACAACTTGGCTTACCTTTCCATACCACATTAATAATTCGGACTATTAAGTAAGCGACAGTTTAGTTCTTATTTTTTTTCTTCTACACGCTATTTAGTTAATGCACAGTAATTACAATATATCTAGCTGCAATATATGCAATTATATACAAAAATATAATGCAAACGCCTCGATTCATACAGTATTCATATTAATTTGATATTGAAGCAAGTGAGACGTCGATTCAAGTGATAACTTGTTCTAAGCATCTCACTCTAGTCCACAGTCGCTTGTAATCCATATAACATACATTATTTATAAGCGACTGCACGTATATAGCTTGTAAACGTATTGTATGCTTATTATACATATATATTTTTTTTTCATGCGTGTGAATTTATCTATGATGCTATTTGAATTTAAAGTTAATCGGATTTAAAAATAAAAAGTTGAGAATAATATTGATAAAGCTGGTAATAGTCAAACTCTAAAGTTAATAAAAATTGAATTATAAAATATATTTAAAAAATAGCATAACAATGTTAGAATTTTAGGATTAAATTTCTTTCCTAAAAAAGTAGACTTTCGCATTTGTTGTACAATTTGTTCCATTGTTTAATAGCTTCTTACGCGCAAAAGAGGTCGATGCATGTATGAAGATTGGTGCGTCATGAGCTTCCTTTGTTAATTCGTTTACTTGTTTTTATATAATTTTTTAATTTTTATATGTATTGTACTTTATTGTTTATGCTATTTTCGAACAACGCGTGGCGCTATAAACTTTTTCTTTCTCCTTTCTCTTTGTTCTTATGCCGTTTTCTAAAATGGTATTATAAAATCTATAAAAAGGCGAGCTTTAGGAAGGGATTTAATGCGATAACTTGAACAGTAACATATGCTTCGCACTTATAATTACAGGCTCGCCTTAGAATTACCTAATATTTATATCCTGACTATGAATACGGCCGAGGTGCATCGACAGTCCAAATAAATCGATTACGTATCAATGATCCGTTCTGCCCTCCTCTAAACAATATCTTATTCATAACGTGTCCTTCTCTAAACAATAATATCTTATTCATAAAACAGCGAAAGAGGACCGAGTTAATTTTATAACACTAACCGCTCGATTCTCTTTCGGTAATACCCTGCCTGATCGTTAATGACAAATTTCGTTTATGTAGAACCTGCAGTGAAACATTTTGAACTGGTACTTAAGACGTTGAATGCTCAGATTTTTCGTTCCGCTAAATAAATTCAACATTATTAACCACCGTTCCAGATGGGAAAACAGACAGGATTCTAAGTTCTACAAGTAATTGTACGCTCCAGGTGTATGCGGGTGTGTGCGTGTCGGTCCGGCGTGTCTTCCACACGCGCCCTCGTTGCGCCGCGGCTTTATTATTCGTTGAGCACGCAGGTACGGACCAGGGCGTCGCAAACGGAGTAGGGATCGCAGTTACTGCTAGGCCTCCTGTCCTCCAGGTAGCCCTTCTTATCCTCGGCGACGCCACGGGGAATGCGAATGCTGACGTTTCGATTGGCCACCCCGGCGCTAAAGTCATGAATATTGCTGGTCTCGCACTTGCCGGTCAGCCTACGCTCGTTGTCCTTCCCTCCGCGCGGGTCGTAGGCCTGGATGTGCCTGAGATGTTGCTTGCTAAGCTTGTCGATAGCCTTCTCGATCTCGGCGATGCCGTTCTCGCCGCGCATCGGCTTCGTCGAGAAGTTGGTGTGGGCACCGGCGCCATTCCACGAGCCGTCCACCGGTTTTGGGTCCAGGGTAACGATCACGCCGTATTCCTCGGCGATGCGGTGCAAAATGAATCGGGCCATCCACAGATCATCTCCGGCGTTAATGCCCGTGCACGGTCCCACCTGGATCCATAGTAAAAAAACTCGATAATAACTCTTCGTATATATGTATAGGAGGGAGATATATCTTCTTCTCGCTAGAGAACTTTGTAAATTGTATCTCTGCGAGTCTCGAGTTACGCAGAGTTTATAAAGTAAATTCCTGGCGAAGTAAAACTCTCAAAGTAAACTCGCGTTACTAAGTGAACAGTACAAAGTTTGCGAAGACCCTAAACTATGTTTCTACCCTGGTGAAAATTTTTCTTAGAATTCTTTATATTAATTCTTTGTAAGACCACGTCTGAAATTGTAAAATGAAAAAGTCAGAATATTTCAGAAGTCATACATATGAAAAATTCTAGAAAAGATATAAACTTTGGAAAAGTGTACCACTTTGTATGAAAGCTCTGAAAAATTCTGAGAAAAACTTTTCACCAGGGTACTGCAACACGTAAAGCTCAATTTTTAGTTAAATCTGTCGGGGTTTGTCTGATATTAATCTATCTAGGGATCCCCTGAACTCCCGTCCATTTTAGGAGTTAACTACTACTACCCAGTAAACACCAGGTAACAATTGTATGACATCAATATTATAATTTTCTACTCAACAATGTTACGTACAACATGTGCTACATTTATATTATTGAGTGGAGAATTTTATAATATTGAAGTTATGTAACTCTTAGTTGGTGTTTATTGGGTTTACTTTCCGCTTTTCGATCACTCACCTGGAACTCCCATTGCGAGGGCATCACCTCGGCGTTGGTCCCCGCGAGCTTCACGCCGGCGTAGAGGCAGGCCCTGTAGTGAGCCTCGACGATCTCACGACCGATTACCTTGTCAGCGCCGACGCCGCAGTAGTAAGGGCCCTGTGGGCCCGGGAAGCCGTTCTTGGGCCAACCGAGAGGCCTACCATCGAAGTCCAAAAGAGTGTACTCCTGCTCGATACCAAACCATGGTTCCTGATCCTTAATAGTCTCCATCGCCTGATTCGCGCGATATCGCTTGTTTGACTTGGTTGGCGTCTTATCGCTGTAGTAAGTGTCGCAGAGCACGAGCTTGTTGTTACCGCGACGGAAGGGATCGTTATAAATCGCCACCGGGTAGAGAAATATATCACTGTTGGCACCGTCGGCCTGGTACGTCGAGCTGCCGTCGTAAGTCCACGTGGGCAGGTCTGAAAGAGATAATTTGATATTCTATATAGAAATAGTGATAAGTAATTTATAGGCAGGTCACGTTCGTGGGGGCTATCTTTTTCAGCAGAATTGCGAGCAGACTTTCTTCAATTATAATTCCCCGCGACCAATTTCGTGAAAAATGAATTATTACTAACTTTTTAATTTTGTTTACATATATATATATATATACAGGGTGTACTAAAACCATCGGATATCCTTTTAATCATAAATTTTATAGAAACTTTCAAGACAAAAATTCTAATACAAAAATGTCGAGGCTATAATAGTTTTTAAATAATAAGGGATTACATTTCACAAATGACAGGCCTGAGATTTCGCGCGTTCAGGTACGGCGACACGACAGGTGATAAAGGTGTTCCTACGAATAGTCCTACGAATCGCCCTTTTTAGCATAGTGACAACTTTTACAACAGACTTAACGATTCATTCTCGAATTAATTGTTCCTCTTGTTATCTTTAACCATTTCTTTTGTTAACTTTGTGTAACGTCTTATTAATAAAAGGGAGGGGTTCACTATGATGAGCATCTTGATCAGACTGATATCCTTCGATTTAGTCGATCTCCGATATTCTGAGTGAACTTGGAATTTTCAGTTAGATTCAATCTAGTCTCCTGCCTCTCTTTATCCTCAAATTTTCAAAATAACCGGATCATTCCCAAATATTTTCTGTCCCGTTAAACGGTGACTTTGGTTCTCGCTCGCTCGCAAAACACATAGGAACACTTTTATCACTCGTCATGTCGCCGTGCCTGAGCGCGCGAAATCTCAGACCTATCATTTGTGAAATATAATCGCTTATTATTTAAAAACTATCATAGCCTCGACATTTTTTTTATTAGAATTTTCCTCTTGAAATTTTCTAAGGAATCTGCGATTAAAAGAATATCCGGTGGTTTTAGTACACCCTGTATAATAAGTATTATATGGTAACAATTAGTCCTTAATCCTGAAGGATAAATCCTTAAGGTAAATATCGAAATGTAAAAGTCTTTAAAAATCAACGTTCTAATGAAATATTCAAAACTTTCTTCCCGAAATCTATCGATTAATCCTGGTTTTTACAAACGTTTAACTTTGATCCTATTGTTAGTTTAATTCATCCTTTGTTTCTTTCTAACATTCGTTTCTATTAATGCAGATTAATTTTAATCTCGGTTTAAATTATTTTTATCTTTTTCTATTTTTTAAAACTAGAAAAAGAGCAGGTTCTAAAGCAAGTCAAACCGAGAGTAAAGTTTACTACGTTGGTAAAAATGGACATAACTGCGAATGGACATAACCCCTTAGAAAGAGACAAAGGATGAATGAGAAATTAATCGATCAAAGTTAAACGTTAGCGAAAAGCGGGGTAAATGAGAAAACAGAGATTTTTCATCTATCAATATTGATACGACTTAATCCGTTAATAGTTTTTAATTTTTCATTAAATTTTCATTAAAAAATAAGCCTTCTTAATTATTAGTAAAATAACTGATACTGCAATTGGAATTAATGTGTATAATTTGTAAGTCGCAATTTATTTTCTAACAATAAGTGTACAATATATTTTCAACGAATGAATAACAGCGCCACATGATGCAGAAGTAATGATATTTGGCATTAAATATTTTGACATAATTGGTCGTAAAGAATATATGCTAATTGTTCAACATTATCACTTATAAATAAGGTTCACTGCTCCCAAAGTTTTTAAGTTTTAGTAATATGAATATAATGAAAATTACAATATTTAAAAATGATATTAAATAACATTATTCTAGTCAGAATCTTGAAATCAAGTGAGGCATTAACATATTTACTTTTACCTTATCAGTATTGCGCATTAAATTAGAATTTTTATCGCTGCATTTCGATGTACGGTGATCTCACATTGTCGGATACACGAATTAATTCTTTTCTAAATAATAAATACCTCAGTGAACAAGTTGTGCCACATGTGTTATTTTATCGTTTTGTTACAGTATAGCTATTATTAGAGTTCTGCAGAATCGTTTCTTTGTGACGCATAGTAAAATCACTCGTGTATCGAATGTATGATGACAACGATTATAATTCGTAGGTGTATAATGGCAATGATCGGTAGCGATGACTATTGGTTGATTAATAATCAAGTCCCGACTACTCAATATCTCATTGGAATTTATGGAAAATTAAAGCACTCGATGACGCAAATGAGTCATCTTTAATAAAAGATAAATTCACGGTGGAATCAGCAGATTGTGTCTATTACTTTAACAGAAACTCCGCTATATCTCATATTACGAGCTATTTCATAATAGGGGACTTTTCTCTATGCATAAATCCCACTAACAATTTTTTATCCCCCTATTTCGTTGAGATCTCTTACACAAATATAATGACTAGGAACGAAAAAAGCATTGAATAATTATTAAAGTTCAGTAATTGAACCGTTAGAAATTAGTCATGTGCAGTAATTTTCTATTAATTATTTCGCTTACACTTCTGTAAAGCATGCTAGGTTCTATTAAAAAACGTGACGATATAATAAACAAAAAATAATTCGGTAATGAAAGGATTAAACGAGGCCCTTTACCTTAGAAAATTTGCTCGATGGGTCTGCGATTATTAAACAAAGTTTATTCGAGTACAAAAATTTGTAAAAGGAATGTATAAAAATGTGTAAAACAATGTATAAAAACTTTACACTTCTTATTAATATGCTTACCGGAAGGATGTTTCGGTAAAAAGTTCACGGTTCTGGTCTTGCTACGCAATCCTTCGCCAGTACCGTCAATCCAGATGTACTTCGCCTGGATCGCATCCTCCGGTTGGGGCAGATCGAGGTACTTTTGCAACAGAGTTTTGTCCAACGCCGCATTTGGCGAATCCTTCAGCATACTGCGCGACATTGTGGTACTATAACAAAAAATTATTAAAAGATAAATAAAATTTCTAAACTACGGTAAACGGTTTGCTGTCGCACCTGATACAATAGGCACAGTAGCAAAATATTTAGCTATCACAACTAAATATTAGCCGTTCGTATTTTACAAACTGAAATTTAGTTGCCACATACAATTTCTAGCTACGACAGTTACATTTTTCTTTCCGTGAATGTATGGTAAAGTTTCAAAAAACTCTCACATAGTTCTTCAAAATGCCACGTTGTCCCACGATTATATAATTTTCAGGATTTTTAAGAGAAAATTCTCTCCGTGTATATCACACCCATTTTTTGTATAAGGAGAATGTCAAAATTAGACGAAGCGCAAATTTAATCCTCGAGAGATGGCTTCTTTTCTTTTTCTTTTCTTTATTAATATTTAAATTTTTCCTTATACATATACAGCGTGTTTCCTCTAAGTTGAATACGTAGAATATCACAAAACGTATAAGTTTCAGGAGAAAACTTTTCAGACAAAAGGTGTAGGGTTTCAAGTAACGCATTACATAGCAATATCAGTATGACCTTGAATGGCGTTGTCAAGATCACGTGAAGGTCATGTTAAATTTCTTAAATGGAACCCCCTATTGTTTATTATACTTTCTTATTCTACTGATGAATATGAGCACCTTTTGTCCGAAACATGTTTTGATTTGCTTAATACTTTTTGAGATATTCAAGAGAAAATTGATAACTTTTTCAATATTTAGCTTATGATATTTCGATAACTGTTTGTCGGAGGGAAAAGTAGTACAGGACTATTTTAACATGATTTGGTCTCGGGAATATTCTGTGGAAATAGTGCTCCAATTATTGATAATTTTTGTGTACGTAAATTTTGTGTGTTACAATATGAGACGTTTTGAGATGTTTTGTGATATTCTACATGCTCAACTTGGAGGAAAAACACCATGTATATAATATTAATAATATAATACAAATATATGTGCGTGTATACATGTACATACAATATATAATTCAAACACTTTCGTAAATTACCTGACGTAATGATTGGCACGTGTATGCCATTATCCGAATTATACGGATTGTAATAATCGTACTATATATAATTGCGTATATAAAATGCAATTATAGTACAATTATTACAGTATTTAACGTATAACTCGGATAATGGCATGCACGCGCCGAGTACTGGGTCACGTAATTTACGAAAGTTTCCGAACGTCACGTTTCATTCCAGATTCAAAAGCAAGGCATGAATTTATTTTCATTGATTTTCTACCAAGTTTTTATTATAATCCCTTTTTCCCGTCCGCATCGAACACTCTGCGGGCTTTGTGTTTAACAAATCTAAACGAATTTCGTATCGATTTTGGACTGCAAGGAAAATTCCTTTCGCGTCAAGGTGGAGAGCACTTCCCGAAAAGTGAAAACCGCCGTGGAGAACGGGCTTAAAGACCGACTAGCAATTGTCGACGCGGATTGGATTGGGTTTAGTGATTGGCGATTGGCGATTGTCTTCTAGCCAATGAGCGCAAAGCAGCCAGCGATTTAATCAACTCTCATTGGCTAGAGGACAATCGTCAATCCCAATCCAATTCAAGTTGGTATGTTGCTAGTCTGATTCGGCCTTAAGACGACCGCGTGGCGTCGCGCCCGTCCTCGGTCGTCGGCGACGGCGACGGCGGCGGGGGCGGCGGCATGACGCGCGTGCCGCATCCGCGATGCCGATGCAACGCGTGGAGGAAAGGCTTTAACTGTAGTGGTACTGTGAAGAGATAGGTGTGCCCACGTATAGGGGCTTCACGCGCGGAGCACGCGAGGCGTGCGTGCGCCGCGTCGCGGCGACCGACGTGTCGGAGCCACGACCGTCGACGCGCAGCAATGGGATTTTTCCTCCGGTTTCTCGCCGAAAACCCACGCGACAAGATTCCTCTGACGAGCGATCGATAAGCCTCGGGGAGCAAGAGGTCCAAAGAGATATGGAGTTTTCTTGTTTCCATCACGTGTAATCAACTCCAACTTTGACATTTCGAACTGATTAAGTCCGGAACTGTAATGGTTCTTCACGTATCGCTTTCCGGTTTTTCAACACAAATCTTTCACGCTATGGGTGGAATTTTTACGCGGTTAAAAGTAGGACGGATATTTTTCCCCGGTATCGAAGGAATGTCGAATACTTACATCGAGTACGTCGGAAGTTTGCTTTCTTTTACTACACGGAGAGAATTTTGTTTTTAAAATTTATCTTGGAAATCATGTAATCGTCGAACAACATAGCATTTCGAAAATTTTATGAGTTTTTTGAAATTTTACCATACATTCTACTAGTGCTTATATTTATTGTTAGTATATACATTTTACTAGTAGAATGTAAGGTAAAATTCCAAAAAACTTTGATACGGTTCTTCAAAATGCCATGTTGTCCCATGATTTTCAGTGTGAATTTTAACAGAAACTTTTCTCCGTGTGTAGCTTGGGCATTTGAATCTATATTAACGGTTTTATGTTATTTTTCCAAACGTCACCGGAAACATGACCGCGCGATTGTAAAGCGACGTTAGAACGTAACACTTATGCATCGTATACCCGCTGGTAAAATTTTTTTCAGAATTTTCATACAAATTGTATACTATTCAGAAATACTAAGAAAATCCACTTCTTTTCTTAGAAGTTTTCACATATGTAAATATTGCGATAATGAGATATAAATGTTTGAAATCATAGAATGAGAAATTTCAGAATATTTCAGAATTCATACATATGAAAAATTCTAGAAAATATATAAACTTTCTCGGTACTGAAAAATGTTCCATTTTGTATAAAAAATCTGAAAAGTTTTGTAAAAATTTTGAAAAATCTTAAAAATTCAGAGAAAATTTTTTACCAGGGCATGCGTGATCAAAGTTCGACGCCGTAAGAGTCGCATCGAGAGTGGGAAGTGATCGAAACGATCTTGGGACGAGCGGAAATTTTCGACTTTCAACTTTCGTCCCGGCAAGGCTAAACGCCTTTTTGTACAATGTCTTCTTCGGCGATTGCGTAATTCACACCTATCGTAATCGAATGATCGAAATTCTTCGTTATCTCTGATTTACAGATAAGAGATGCACGTCTGGGAACCATAAAAATTGTTTTTAATAGATAACACAATTCCGTGATTATCGCGCTTCATCAATTCTCGTAATTTAATTTTTTTGTCATTATCTGTTTACTCTCACATTGTTATCTTAAGAAGACATGCAAGAAAGTGATATGGAATCCAGAATGCACAGCTTGGTTGTAACAATAGATTCTTTGAACGACTTGCCGTAAATTCTGATTCACTTTTCAATTTTCTTCAATCTAAAAAATAATTTTAAAATTAAGATTAAAAATTAACTTTAAAGTTGACATGCTTTTTAAGTACGTGACTAAAAACGATAAGTTTCTATAAAACAATCAATCGAATAAAGATTAAACTTCTGTATTTAATGCAACTTTTACTTTATTTCTCGTTCATACAAATTTTCTCAGACTTATATTTTTCCGGAATTAATCGTTAACAGATATTTAAAGTCGAGTTTCCCGTTAATAATAGCGCGGTAACATAACAATAGTATGGAGACTAATTTTTTAACTGATGTTTCGGAGTTCTCATTCTGCTCGGCAGTTGGTGCACATTACACGAACTTTGACCTTAATTTGGAGAGTGTCGATTGCCACTGCGATATCGACCAGGATTAATAACCGTGTAAAGCGAAAGACGTTCGCTTACGTCATTTCGAAATTACATAATTAGTGCCACGCGTCTTTTTATCGTCGCTAAAACGTCCGCGATAACCGATGATCGCGTAGAACTTCGGAGAACGAGACATGTTTGAAATTCAATGGATTTTTACTTAATTCATGCCGCGAAGAATTGCGAATGATTATCTCTTTTAAATATCAATTTTTAGTAGCTAATGACTCGAAAATATTATATTAATTTAGTCGTTACAGATTTATTTTAATATCGGATCCAGTGTAAAATTTTTCTTGCATGAGCATGCATAAATATACATATAGTATTATATAAAATTATACATCAAATATGTCCATATTTATATTGTATATTTCTAAATAATTCTACACAGTTCTATATAATTTTATAGATTTATACATGCTCCCAGATAGCAATGCCGTGTTAAAGATGTCTTTTAGACTATATAGCATGCTATCTGGGCTGTATAAAAAATTTTTTAAAGGAAAAAATTGCTTATTTATAATTCTATATAACTTTGTACAATTGTACAAAATTATATAAAATTATAAACAAACAATTTTTCACATAAAAATTATTCATATAAAAGCATGTACAAATCTATAAATTTGGACTATGTACAATTGTATAAAATTATGTAGAAATGTACAATGTGTATGGACATATTTGATGTATACTTGTACATAATTCTATATATTTATTTATGTTCACGCATGAAAAATCTTGTGACTTCCTCTTTCCCTTAAAAGTTTCCTCTTTTATGTGACGTATCTTGTATACATTTCATGCATATGTAGGGCTGTCAGACAAGGGAAAAATTGAACTGTGTATCGGAGGATTATCTTCGATCAAGAAGTCGGTTTTGTGCAATACACACGTAATCGCCTTGATCGATGAGTTATATGCTTGGCGAGTGTTGACCTACTTTTGTCGCCATTGCGAGACGATTGCGACCAATCGTAGGCTCGAGAGTGCAATTGATAGTCTGACAAGTACAAATTTTCGAGTGTCAGGAGCGTTTCTAAGTCGTACATAAGCGATACATCTTATTTATTTATTTATTGGCAGTCGCTATTAATATAGTTAATGCTACAATATAATTTACGCGATCTCGATGTAAAACTTGTAGTTTTCATCTGGGAGTAATAAAAATTAGTGGGACAATTTTTCAAATTCAAGTTGAAAAATATAACATTTTGCACGGTAAAAACTTTATTCTTCTCTGTCGATGAATTTACATTTGTAGTTCACAGAGATTCGACATTCACG